GAGTGTTTTCTCCTCTTGTTGGGAATGAGACATGCTGATGGTATTTCGGGTGAACGGAGTTGAGATTTGTATGACTAAAGTCACCCAATTTTCTATTTAGAAATATTTCTATTTCTATCAAGAAAAAAAAGTTACTAAAATTTTAAACTAATAATCATCTTGAGATTACATTAAAAAAACAGCTGCTTCGGGGCAGACGGTTTAGTTGGTAAATGTGCTTATCCAAGAGGAGATTGAGCCCTGGTCACTTGTTCGAGCAGGGATCTACAGTAACTTGGTTTTTTAAATACGTTTTTACTAGCATCCTAAACTGGAAAAATTTCAAATATTTCAAAATTTAAAAACGGCTTTGAGGCATGTGAACTAGTTACTAACCCTTGGGAAGGGAAAAAGCTATTTTGCCTTTTGTTGTGAAAATAATAACATATATAGCAAAAATAATGTTTAAAGGAAAATTTACCTTTTTTCAGCTGATAAGACAGTTACAATTTATAACTTTAGCTTCCTTTGGCTTGCATGGAACTTGGTGCCAGCAGCCAGGTACTTGATGACATACTTGACATGTCACCTCTGGAGATTGCAGTATGCTGACTGAAGACCTTCTTGACCTCATGTGTCTTCCAAAGTGCAGTTTCCAGACCTATGGTGTAGCCAGGCAGATCTGACAATCCAGAGTTAGGCTATAAATCAAGTGGTGAGTGCTCAACTGGGGTAAGTTGCATGCACAAGATAGTGCTGGTCTGATGCACAAATCCTACGTTTCTCACCTAGTTGCAGAACACAGAGCTCAAGCTGTTCTTGCAGCACCAGTGTGGGTTCCAAGCCTCCATAGCGGTGATCAAAGGCTGCTAATACTGTCCAGCAATCAGCCAGTTCATCCGGGACAAAATCTAGCAGCAGTCCCTGGAACTCTTCTTCTGTTTTTCTTCAATAATTGTGTGGTTGGTCTTTTCCTCTGAACAGCCATTCAAATGTGCAGGCAGCTTGGATTTGGTATTTAATGTCTCCCATGACCCTTGCCTGGTGCATGTATCGAGGTCCCCAGCTTTGGGCCCAATGCTCCAGTCACTTTGATTGTCCGTGACAGAAAATCGCTGTGGTTCACGTCACCACAGTGATATTATCTCATTATCTCACAAGTACACATCTGGCTCACTGCCCACCCCTATGACTTGCAACTCACTATGAGAAAATTAAACCAATTTGATTTTATCGTAGAAAGTCGCAGAGAGTCGTAGGGGCTATTAAGAGCGCTATGACTGAGTCGCTGGGGGTATCACACTACAAAACTGACGGTAACGGGCAAAGGCTGCGACTCTCCACAACTCGCTGTGATTTTCTTTCAATTAGGTTAATGAAGGCTACGACAGAAAATCCTAGGAAAAATCATGTAGTGTGACGCCGGCATGAAGGCAAGCACTCGCTAACAATCCATGTGATTAAGTCAAGTAAAATGTTACACCTCACACCTCCTGTTTACAGGGGGAGAGGTGGAAAACATCAAAGAAATAGTTTTAAGAGTCTAATATTTTTTACAGGAATTCACCTTTTGTGGATGATAGCTGTATTTCAAACATTTGTCAGAGCAAACAATAAGGATCCCCACTTAATGCAGAACTTCCATGCCCATTCGTATTTGGATTATGTTGTTTCATGGTTTAAATATGTCTCCATTGTATGGCAGGATAGTAACCTGATGGTCTCTCCCTGCTAAGCTGCCTGAGGTTGTATACAGCAAAAAAATATCTAATTGTACCTGTATGTTTTGGGTTCTTACCAATTGTAATGTTTAAATAATTAAATGCTTGTTATTATTGTGCCATACTATAAAAATGTATGTGAAAAATATATTTTTTAATCTGCTTAAAAAATGTGCAGTACAAACCTGTATTTTTAGTTTCAGAAATGTTTAATGGTTGATCATAGATAACAAAATACATTATGTGCTTCCAGAAAATACATTTTGGGGGGAGACTGTGATGTTTTGTTACTACAAGGATGCAATAAATATTTTCCTCAAAAGTGACAGCAATTCAATTCAATTTATTTTTATATAGGGCCTTTCACAACAAGGTTGCCCCAAGGTGCTTAACAATGCAAGTGACCATACATGTGAATACAGAACAGAAAAGACCAGAAGACAACAGAGGAGAGGAACCAAAAAAAGGAGAAAAATGTATAATTTTAAATATATATTATTGTATCTATTTCTTGTGTCTGAGAAGTGTCTTGAGTTTTATGAATTCATCATTGTAGTTGTTTAATTTTTACACTGATAAACAAACAGAATGTATTTGGATTATAATGTAAGAATTCCTGTTCATGATTTATTTTGTTCCTGTTTTTTTTACTAATGTTACAATGGTCATAAAAAGTAAATGTTTGCAATTCTCAGGGTCTAAGAAACAACAAGTAAAAGGCTGAAGTGTTTACTGAGCATTAAGTGATCATTGAGTTATAGATCAAAAGAGACCTTCTGGGGAATTGCTTTAGTTAATCATAATAAGAGTGAACATTCAACACCTAGGAAGACAGGATAAGGAGACACAGAGGAAGCAAAGAAGGAGAAAAAGAGACATAGAAGAAAGAGAGAACAGCAGAACAAGAGTGCTGTGTGAGAAGACTTTGTTCAGAACAACCTTTAAGACCAGATTCTAGCAAAGTATTTGAATCTTGTTCAAGAAAGCTTGCTGTTCTGTTATTTTAGGAAACTTCTGATTTCTTTTTTGAAAAATTCCTAAAGAGGTTCTCTTCAGGTTACTTATGCATTTTCAGAATAGGGTGTTCCATTCAATTTGGATAATCTGGGTTTACACGAAGGGAGGTTTAGCTCTGGGTTGTATTTTTTATTCAGAATTCAGATTTCATACTCTTGTTGGCCTGTTTTGGCATTATATAAGATTTCTGCTTGCTTGGCAGTCTGGGTTTTCAGGGACTGTCAGAACACAAGCCAATGAGATGCCTTGTTTGTAAATTGCATGTTTTATTTTGTGTCACGTGTTGTTTAGTTTCTGTTTAGTTAATAAATATTTGTTTATCCCACTTTGCCTCTCATTTATTAATCTTTTGTCAGAGTTGTGCCAGAGAAGAAAGAACTCAGCTGCCTCAAACTATACTGCCATTCAGATATAGTTTTGACAATTGGAAATTGTAATTATTTAAATAATTGTTAATCCCAATCTACAGTAGATTCGATATTTTCATATTCATAGCAATATGAAGCTTACACCCGAAGAAGGCACCATAGCCGAAAAGTTGTGTTTTCTCTCTTCTCTTTTTAGCATGGAATAAACCTATTACTTGTTCCTATTCATAGCAATATAAAACAATTCAAAATGTATCACCTTCAGTAAATCAGTAACATTACGTTCACTTGACCAGATCTTTGTTAAGAATAAAAAACAGCTTAACCGTACTGCAAAGTTTAAAGCAACCTGTCATTATGCACCAACAATTATCTCAGCAAATCTATCCATCCAATTTCTAATCAACTATTCATCCATTTTCTAACCACTTCTTCCAATTCAGGGTTGCTGAGGAACCAGAATCTATCCCAGCAAGCAGCAGGCACAAGGCAGGGTACATCCTGAATGGCACACCAATCCACCACAGGGCAGACAAACAGAGACACACGCACTCATACCAGGGCAAATTTTCCAGGTAACCAATAATCCTACAAGACGATTTTGGATCGTGGGAGGAAACAGCAGCACCCAGAGTAAAACATTTGTAACACATTCAAACTCCAGGCGGGTACAACCCCAAGTCCAGACATGAGCCCAGGGCCCCCGCACTGTGAGGCAGCAATGCCAACCACTGTTCTACTGTGCTACCTACTGTATCTAGGCAAATGTGTGTTTAATTTACAAGTTAGTATTATTCAGCTTGAGTACATTTTAAAATCCTGCTTGAAACTTCCTGCTCTCCCAGTGAACAAGGAGTCATACTGTATGTTCATCTGTTCCCAATGTAGTAATTTTACTTGTCAAATAACTCTCAATAAAGTGCCTAATGTTTAATAGTGATTGATGTACAGTAAGTACAAAAAAATTGACAGGGGTCACTAAAATGATCTCAAGATAAGATATCGTGAAGTCCTCATCCCAGATCCATTTTGTGTCTGGTTTAATTATTTAAAAAAAAACATAATCTCAGATTTCAGGCTACTTCTTAATTTTAAGTGTTTTGTCAATGGCATAATTTTTGGATCCTGTACACTGTGTTACAATTATATTTATTTTAGTGTGAGTACTCTTTTTTACTCAATATTCTTTTATTTTTTATTTAAAAAAAAAGTTATCACAAGTTTTGTATCATAAATATAACTCACAGGAGAAAGGAACTTGTATTTTTTATTGTTAGGACACCTGTAACAGTTTGGATACCATATTAAAAAGTAAAATATGCCCCCACCTATTCCAACCCAGGCAAGAGAGGTGCTTTTGACACGACTCTGAAGTTGATCAAGATTGGTAGCCAGCAGGACCTTCATGGTTTTCGATGACACTTCATACTTTCTAGATGAGCGAAGACGGACTTCCAGTACTGTCTGGACAGGGAAATTCCGTGACGCCTTTATCTTTATAAACTCGAAAGAAAGAATTGCTGAGCATAGATTGGATTTTGAGGTCCTTCTTCAGTTCTTGTTTGGAAGAGTTTAAAAATAAAAACAAAACAAATTTAAAGTAAAATTCACAGCATGAAGTGTATATAGCTTAACGTTAAGCAGCATTCTTTGCAACTGGTATTAACCTAGTACATATTTTATCTGATACCGTGATCCTAGTACCACCACATTGAGTGCTCTGTAATTGATCACTTAGACTAACTAAATCGTACTTTCCCCCACGTTTAAATTGTAACTATACACATTGTTTTTTAACAAGTAAATGTACAGTCAAAGAAATCATCACGGTTTCTCCATATGGCACGTTAGTGTAGAACACTGTAGTAACTGAATAAATATTTCAAAGACAAAATACTCCGACCTTCGTCTTCTTTTCAGTTGAGCTTTACGGCTCAACTGAATTATGATTATGTAAATCTCTCAGTCTACCAAACGCTGTGTTTGAGTCACACGGCATAGACCATCCCTTTTCCCATCGATTCTGGGAGGAGTAAGAAGAACAGGAAAGTTTTTTGATTCGGCTTGTGGCGTTTGTTTCCTTAATCATTCTAACTCCAGAATACCGTCTTAAATTTTGAATCGCGGAAGCCACCTAATGTAATGTATTTCTGAACATTTTTTTCTTGATTTTTAAATCCTGGTAGTCTGTATTTTGAATAAAATATTATTTAAGTAACCGAAACGGCCACAAGATATTGTGAGTCGATACAGAAATTATTCATGATGGAATTACGGATTTTGAGCCCTTTGGTTGTTGTTGTTCTTGTTAACCTGGCTGTAGTCTACGCTCAGACTTCCGCACCTGGAGTATGTAAGTCCTTTTTCTGTTGTTAAGTGTTAGTAAGTTTACAACGTAAAGGAGACTGATATGTTATTTACCCTTCTTTTTCTGTTACTAAACTCTTATCGGAAATATGAAAAGATATCACCTGTTGTTGAAAACATATTGTGGGTGTGTTTCAAATTGGCTGGTTTTGATTTAACTAATGAAGTGACATTGAGAAATCCTTGTACGGAACTTTAAGATTTTAACGTACTCATATTCCAGGTCAATTTAAATTTTCGAGTCACTTTTCCTCATATATTGACTTCAAGATTAGTAGTAATTTAACTAGATTTTAGGTGAGTTGCATTTCTGAATATTGTCAGAATTTGTATTGTGATTTTTAATTAACCGTCGTCTGTTTTTTTTTTTACCATGAAGTGATTTTACCCCCAGCGTTCATAAAGGACCTTGATAACGAGAAAAAGACTGATGTTTATCTCACAAAACAGGCTTAAAATGCTGAATTTCCCGTTTGTCTGGGGAAGCTGCCCTGGAAAATGTTTAGTGTTTTAAATAGAACTGCTTTTTTATATTCCCCATTTAACCCAATTTGAGACGACTAGACGGGGCTGAAATTATTCATTAAAGTTCAATTGTCTAGTGATGACTGTAAAAGGGATTAGAAATTAATGTTGAGGACCAGTGGAAAATTAAGACAATAATGCATATGGACGACATTAACTTAATTAAAAATAGTTAACGAAAAAATAATCAGAATTTAGTTAGAAGTTAAAAAATAGTTAATTAGACCAACAACTGTATGTAACTAGGCTTGGGTGAAACAAGAAAACAGGACACTAGATCATCAAGGAATTTGGTTTGAGAGCGCAGTGTGAAAGTATGAAAATCATGAAAATAGAAATTGGGGGAAAAAAAGGACAAGCTTTAACCTTGCAGGTTTATGGAGGCGTTTCTGGTCCAGGGTTGAGGAGGGTGGCTTCAGTGGTGCATTTCTATTTTTAAAACTTGAGCACTTAGATTCGTATAACAATTTATTTGCATCTTCCAAAACAAGGAAGTCGGTATGTCACAGTTTTCTGTAGTAAAATGACCAGACCTTTTGTCCCTGTGTAGTCCCTTTTAGTGAGGGAATACAGCCCAGATTGGTTTATAGGCCTCAGTTCTTGTTTTTCAGTTTAACCTAGCTGTATTTTAGACAATTTTAGTTTAACCTCTTGCATTTTGTGTGGAGTAGAGGCTGAACTTGACCTGTTGTTCTTCCTATGCCACTGAATTCAGTTAAATCCACCAAAGGGATTATTGGCTCTCTACTTGTAATTCGCACACTGGGGATTTGAGCCTTTTTTGTTTTGGAAACCAAGAAACAGTTAGCTGTTGTTTCTGTAAAAAAAAGAAAACAAGCCTAATGTTGTGCCTCGTATATAAAATTCAGATGAGTCTGTCTTAGGAATGTTTGATATCATATTTTCACTGAATTGAGAATATCTAATCTCTGAAATGAAAGAAAAAAAACAATTCAGCTTTTATAAGTGTAAAAATACTTTTTTGTTTTTCCCCAGCCTGTACTTTATTTATAAAGGTTTTTGAAGATTTTTATATTACCTTTTAAAAAGATGAAAGTCCTATAATAATTTATTTTTGAAGTAATGCTCCCTGTGGCCTGTATTAAGTGACATTTTAATCTGGGGTTGTTACAAAACTGCTCAAAGCATCATAGTTGGAAAATGTATATTTAGAGTCAGGATTGAAGATGCTTGCACATACAGGTAAACAACATAAAGATCCTGTGTTTTCTTGATATAAAATATGTTCTCTACTCAGGGGAAATAAGTGCACATATTAGTCTCTCCTGATTGCCTAAATGAATTGTATCGCATTACTATTTATCACATTCTCATCACTATCTGTTCTGTCTCTGTTGTTTTCCACAGCCTGTGCTACATATTCCAACACCAGCTGTGAACAGTGTCTGAAAAATGTTTCGGTGAGTGTGAGGTCTTTTTCACAGCATTGATGCCATTTGAACCTGGTCATCAACCAGTTAAGTATGTACTTTTGGCCTGGACCGCCACAGTACTTTTCAACAGTAATTTTCCAAAGTACACTATGTACACTTTGTACTGCATTCTCAGTGTTGCACCCAGGAAGCGCCGACAAAAAAGCTAGGAAAGCTAGCTATGGGGTGGGAAAATTTCAAGTGACAATGCGGGTGGAACATGAACTGGTTGGCCAATTACGTTAGCACTAGTCATTCAGGTTAGTTTACTTTAAGGTATGTGGAGCTATGTGTTTTTTTCATTTTTCTACAGTAGTAGGTTTAATATCATATGTTTATATTGGTACCTTTTAAATACATTTGTTTTCTTTTTAGGGATTGCCTTTGGGAATCAACAGACTTTTTGGAATTGCTTTTTCCCCCTTTTATTACTCTGCTAGGTCTTGTAATAGAGTTCCTTGTCTCATAGGAAGAAGAAGGTGATTTCTGGGAGAGATCCATATGCTTACTAGACCTAGACTTGCATGATTTTTCTTTTTTATTTCTGCGATATAAAGTGATTGAAGAAACAAAAGTAGTCAGTGCTAGATGTGAATGTTTTAATATAATTAAATTGTAGCATAAATGAGTAAAGTTTCTTAAAGGGACTTTGAAAGTGGGTGGTTGTTAGTGTAAAAATATAAGTGAGACAATCCCAATCTGTGGTTAAACCCACTCCAAATGTGTACTTTACACTGTACTCTAGATGTAAATAGCCTGTATTTTCTGAAAGTAGTCACCTGGTGACTTGCACAACAAACGTGCTTGTAATTGTAGTCTTTTTTTTTTCTAGGTATAGCTACTACTTAAATTTTAACACAATATTTATCGGTGTGGAAAACTATGGCCTGCTCAAAAGAAAATTAGGATTCCAGTTGTATTTTTTTACCAACCAGTCACCGATAGTAGTTTCCTACTTCAGCTAACACTGAGTTTTTCACACACCTTCTATGTGGGTACTAAGAGACTGTTAACTGAAAAAAGAAAATTAATGAAATCCAGTCTTGTTAATTCAAGAAAGACGGCATAAAGGGGAGGACATTTGACCCATTTAGGCTGTTTGGTTGTGAGTTGCTGTTTTATCAGTTTACCAGGCTATTGTCTTTGATGGTATTGCAGGATAGCTTTTTCTAGACTTATACCAAGCTTTTGCAAAAGTATCCCTCCCCTTTTTAGTTTTTGCCTTTTTCCAGTTGTCATGTTTCACTAGTGATTCTGAAAAAGTCTATTGGTTTGAGTTTGTCAATGCCTTTGAATATTTTGAATACTTGAATCGGGTCCCCATATTGTCTTCTCCGTTCAGGACTAAAGAGATTCCATTCTTTAGACTGCCAGAGTAGGACATGCTTTAATGTTTAAACCCTGGAATGTATCTGGGTACTCTGCTATGATTGCAGAGTAGTGGGATATTTTTTGTAAGGTGGTGACCAAAACTGAACAGTATTTTTAACATCCTAGATATAAATTCTGCATTCCTGACTGCTGTTAGAAGTTCATCATATACTAAACAAGGTCAATTAATCATGCTTTAGAAGTAACAGTAATCTTATCATTGAAGTTTCGACTGTGAAATGTTTCTGGCATATTTTTAAGGTTAAGAATTTTGCATTCCAAATGCTTTTCCAAACCATTTCTTTTGGAAAATGGCACTGCATGCCAGTTTTTTAAAGACATTTTTGATGTAAGTTATGATAACTGAGTCTATACAGCATGGGTAGACATGGAATATGCATTTTTGACATCAAAATAGTGTAATATGGCTTTTTGTTCACATTAGGTGCACGACATCAATAAGTATTGTCCGTGCACTGTTTTACTTAATCCCATATGTTTATACAGTATACTGATTTCTCTGACAAAAATATTGGCCATTCAGGCTAATGTTTCACTGGCACGGTGGTTGGAACATTTTGAAGGGTCTGTTATTGGACACATTACCATATGCATATTTGTATGTGGTTATTTCTTGTTCCTATTTAAAAAAAACTTCATAACATTGTCTTGAGGATCGCACTTTAATGATCTCTAAAAGTCCCTCCCAGCATGTTTGTTTAACATGTCATTTGACACTTTTTTCATGGGAGATGTTAAAAAGGATGTCATATCTGATATGAAGCAACAGCCATCTTGCAGCAATGTTGTGATGTAGGTTAGCTGGTTAAGAATTTACAGTGTTAGTGTTGTGAAAGTATGATTCTGTGAAAACTAAAGCCCCTCTTGATCTGTTTAAGGGAAAGTTTTTAAAAAAATCATTAAAAATTATATCACAAAACACTGAATCCCCAGAACTGTAAATGATCAGGGCTGGAGCTGTGTGCTGAGTTGTTAATCCTGTGACTTTTACGTTATAATGATTCACATATAAGTGATATGTACAAACCACCATCACCTACTATTAGGAAATACTTAATAGTACAATTCATCGATTCACAGGTACATTATATAATTACTATATTTTGCCTAAATATTGTTTTATTTACAATACCCTATGGAGACCTTCATAGTGAGATTTTACATTTTTGATGCAATTTAGTATTTTCAAGAATTGTTGAAATATGAGCAGTTAGTCATTTTGTTAAAGTGACATTCTGAGTCAACTACTCAGTACAGTTGTAGACATGAGTCTACATGTTATTAGGGGCAGTATAGTTATGTGGCAACAAACATTGCTGTCTCAGAGCTTTAGGGTGCTGAGTGCAAGTCTGGTTTCTATCTCCATATGTGGAATAAGATTGTTTCCCTCATGTTTATATGGGTTTGATTGGCTGTTTTAAAGTTTTATATGTGCCCCTGCATTTTTTGGCATCTTGTGTATAGGGAGAGCATCCATGTGCTTTTGGTCCTTTCATCAACTGTAATTCCAGGATCACTTAGAAATATAGCTGTCTGATAATGAGTAGATGGATGCAATACTATTGTTCTTACTATTTTAAAAGGCTGGAACCCGTGCCATACTGTTCATAAATCAAACGTCAGTATGTTTAATTTGAAGGTGAAGATTCAGTGTTAAGTATATTTGGCTACTTGGTTGGTTGGAAGTCAATGAAAAAAAGAGAGTTTGAAATGTACAAGGTTCTTTGTATGAAGATGAAAACTTAACAGTGGCTCACCTTTACAAATGAAGATGTGTAAAACATGAGTGATGAGTGTGCTCCTCCATTTTTGTGTATTGCAGTGCCTGTGGTGTAAAACAAATACGCGATGCATCGACTACCCTGTGAGGACCATTCTGCCACCCCATTCCCTCTGCCCCCTGTCCTCGGCGCGATGGGGCATGTGCTGGAGTAAGAATTTCCACTATTCCCTCCTGATGCACGGCTCTCCAGGAGTAGTCCTGGACAGCTAGACTGTCTCATGATGTTTATTCAAGACAAGCTTTGTCTTTTTTCTCATATATCATGTTGTTTGAGATTTTTTTTTTGTATACTTCTACATTCTTAAAGCTCAGATTTCACAACTATAAAAACGTCATTCTTTCTGGTACCTTTGTCCATGTTGTTACTGATTTGTAACTTAAAGGGGAACTGCAACGCTATTTTCATATTCGAGGTTAAAACGAATCGGCATTGATGAGTGCATTTCAAACCGCTACGAAAGTAAAATGTACACAGTAACTTGTAAAGCCTCCAATTTACACCACAAAAGGGCTGAAATTTCCAGGTATGCTAAGCACAATGTTCTGTTATTCAGACCGAGGCAACAATACTTTGAGTGACGTGTGGCCCTATGATATTGTAAATAAGCAGGCGTGTGAATATTTTTCTTTCAATCCAATAGAAATATTGCTTTTGATTTAGATTTTCCGACAAATAGTACTTGTTTACTCTGCATTCAGATCACATTGGAACATTTCTGCGGTGAAATGTCTGCTGCACAACCTGTTTTTATTTCGCTTGTATGTCACTACATTAGTCATGACTGAGACTAGTGAGCAGGAAGGGCAGAATCATGTCTCAATTTGTGGGAACTTGAATGCGAGTTTGTGACAACATGGCAACTTACAGTACACGATTTTGTGCTTAATTCGAAATTTGTACATTTTTTTTTATTTCAGTCTGTTGCTATTTCCAGTAAGGTGGATAAATAATACAAGATAAGTTTTCTTAAAGGCAGCAAGCTATGAGTGAGCTTGTCACACTGTAATAAGGAAGTATTTTCTTTTTTTACGTGGTTTAAAGCTGAATAATCTACAGTGTAAGTATCCTTACCTGGATTTCTTGGAGAAACCTCTTCCATTTCTGTTAATTAATTAGGCAAGAAGGAGGTAGCTTAGTTACCAATGTGATGCCAAACAGAAGAAAGTCAGAATTGTTCTCAAGTGACGATAGAATTTTTGCATATTTTGAAATGTTCCTAACGTGACAACAATTTTAAATCAAAGGTGAGCTACACAAGATCTTGAAAGTCGTCATGTTACCATATGATCTTAATATGATCTGTTGAAAAAATCTGCATACTTTGTGTACTTCAGGAGCAGGTTGGCAACCACTGCTCTTAATTAATGTGTCCAGCCCAGAGGGCTGAGGGACACTTGTGGTGACTTGAAATTAAATGTTTTGATTTCCTGTCTCACGATAAATAAAAATAGTTTTGTCGACATATTCTTGTAAGATAAGGATATAACCTTGGATCATTTCTTTGGACTGATTTTGTTTAAAGTTTCAATTGGATTGCTTAAAACATCATTTAGGATCTCTTAGAACTATAGCTATATTTTGAATATGCTTTCAGTTTTAACAATTTGATTTTAAGATGTGGCATTCAAGTCATGTTTTGATTGCAAATTGCTTCCCATGAAAAAGGTGTTGACTGTTCTTCTAAAATAATTTAAAAAATGCTATTGATTGATGACTGAAGAATTTAATTAATGTTTAAAGTAACTGGGCCAGTGTCAATCGCTAGTAATGTCATTGTATCTCGCGGTAGTAATGTTTTTGTTGTCCCCATACTCTTTGGAACGAACTGCAATCTTGTGGAACATACATTTCCTTTTAAACCAGAATTTAGAATTATATCCATTTTGAGTGATACTAAGCCTTCATTGCTGTCATGAATATCATAGCAGCTGTCTTTAATTCCAGGCTCGGATGCACCCAGCAGCACACTGCTTAAAGACTGACTGAAAATAAAGTTTGTGGATCGTCATCTAGCTAAGAATTTAAATGAGCTTGTAGTGTTACATTAAACAGGCCAGGCTAGAGAACATTTCTTATTCAAATTTGTCTTTTGCAAAATGGTAGGCTGGGTTCAGTCACCTGAATTCATCAAGCTGTCGTCACCATTATGTTAAAAGCCATTTTGAGATAATCCAAAGTTTTTCATTTTGTGAACCGCAAGCTGGGTGATGGTGAATGGTGCTGGTACCTGCCTTATCATGAAAGAAGGTAGAAAAAAGTAATAGGAATCTTCAGTATGAAAAATAGGATTTGTTTTTTGTTGTATAATGACTTATTACTGTGTGTTTTGCTCTCCAGTGGATTTCCAGGCTCTGATTATTGCCATATCTGTAATAGCTGGGATCATCCTCATTGCCATTTTCATCTGCTGCTTCTGTTGCTGCAAGTGTGAAAAAATAGGGTAAGTTTCCCGAAAATAATTCTAAGTATACAAAGGTCTTTTAACAGTCGGCTCTTTTGAAACCTTTCGACTGACCTTTGCACAAGTTAGACGAGCTCCACAATATACAAAGTCAACATCTACTGTACGTTACTTTCGTTTTTGATTCTGTGTAATTGTTTAAATTTAGAAAAAGCATTTTGTGACACGTAGTCACATGCAGATTTTAATGCATTCTCCATGGTTGTTTGAACCTTAACTTCATAATATGTATTTGGCACTTGTGTTAACTGAGATATTTTTTGGCAGTGTTACATATCTTCTCAGCAACAGGAGAAGATTAAAAATTTCAAACAGCACTTTTTCATGTGACTTGCGTTCGCTTGCTGTTTTAGCAATAGATGCATTCTTTCCCACTACACAAGCCTCTTACAGTACAACCCGGCTTAAGTCTGATTGCCCAGAGGGGTTTCACCTCATAAATGTTGGAACATGCTGGGTAGTCATTTTATTCTATAAGCCTAGCAGCTATTCAAAGTATTTTTGAATCTGGTAACAAAGTGTCCACTTGTCCACCCCCCATTGTAGCACACACAACTTAAAAAAGTACATAAATCTGAAAGTTTAAAATCTACCCCATACAGTATATGAACATGTGTGGTTGTCGAACCATTCTATTAAGACATGATAGTAAAATATGACCTATGATTTGCACTTTAATTTCACCTGACATTTGACCACCTGACTCGTTGAATTAAGGCAAAGGAAAATATTTAAATGTTTCTTTAACAAATGTATTTTATTGTTCACGTCAAGCAAAATGAAATCATGCAAAAGTGCTGTTTGAAAATTTTAATCTTTTCAAGTTACTGACTCAGAGGGTGTGTTACACAATGCTAAATAAATATCACAGTTAACACCAGAGGTTGTATTTCTGTTTTGTGGAAAAGTAATATCTTGTAGAATGTAACTTCAGGCATTAAGTGCAATTCTATTTCCGATTTATTTCAGTATTCCTAAACTAGATGCAAAATTTGCGCATCAAGGAGAGAAAAGGAAGGCACGTCAGGAGGAGAGGTGAGCTAGTCTAAAATTGTATGATAGTGTTACATTCCCGGCTCTGTGATACCTGTATTTATGATATAAATATAGCTGTATGCTATATTTACTTTTCTTTTGTACAATTGTAGATTATACAGATGGTTTCCTTTTATCTCACCTTAGCTACTTCATTCCATTGAGAATCTAAGCCACTTGGATGTCCACAGTCTTCTTTTAATCTTTTGGTTTCCTTTACTTTTTTCTTCTTTTTAATGTTCTTTCCTGTTCTTGTCTTTGAACTTTCATGGTTCTCTACCTGTGTATCCTTTTTCTGTCTTTTCTCTATATAATTTTATCCTTCTCATTTCTGTTTTCTTTCCCCATCTTGCTCTTGCCTGGTTCGGATCAGGCCTGGAGACTGTGATCTAAATATGCAACTTATTATCTGTGGGAACAAGTAAAGGTTTATTCCATGCTGAAAAGAGAAGAGAAGAAACACATTTCTGGTGTTGATGCCTGAAAAAGGCTCAACAGTTTCTTCTCCTTTTCAGCATGGAATAAACCTTCACTTCTACCTTTGCAGCCTACGCATGCTGACATAGCTACCTACTTGAATTATTTCTGTTGCACTTTATTTTCTTGTATCAAAAAACCTGGAAGAGCAGGTTTTAAATAAAGAACTGCAAATGGAAGAACTGCAAACTGTCAGTTTTGTTATTTTAAACAATATTAAGATAATCATAATAAACATAAGTCTAGTGACTAGAAAGGGTTTTAAGACGGCATCCACAAAACTGTCTTTTTAATAGTGATGTTTTAATAAATTCATTGTCTTAAAGATATGAAAAAATATCTTAAGGAACATTCGATAAATTGGGTAATGAGAAGAATGTGAGGAAATGATGCTAAAAAGGTCATGAATTGCATCTTATTATAGTTTAACAGCAGTGTTCCCTCAATTTGTTTACTCACTAAGGCAACTGGAGTGTCTCCTGAGCACAAATGTCACTGCTCTGAGCTCTGGGCGTGTGTAAACCTTGGGCACGCCCAAAAAGTGTCTTTTAAAAACATTAGGGGAAAGTTTGATTCACTTGTAACTTAACTTAATTTGCAATGGCATAACAACACATTCTTAAGCACCCCATAATGCTAGGAACTGTCTGTTTAAATTCAGTTATACAGTAATGTTTGCTTGAATCCTACATTTATCTTGTTTTAGGCTTGTAGAGCAACATTTTTTTATAATTCCCCTACAGCAGACTGAGACCAAATGACAGCACCACTGAATAGCATATTCAGAGAAGCGATTACTTAAGTGAGATATAATCATTTACAAAACTAAGTGGGAAATAAGAAGATATAATGTAATGTTGATGGTCTTGGAAGTTCTCTTTCTTCCACATGGAAAGATGATGCAATTTATTTTAGGTAAAACCAAAAGCTGTAGGCCCTCTGGGAATTGGGTTTCAAAGCCCTTTATATTTTAATGATACATTGTGACAATTTACCATTCCTAGTACTACAGATTTGTCTTCCGGACTCTGAAAAAGGAAATTCAGATATGCTGTGGTTTGTTATGCAGTTAAGGGAGAATTGTTTTACAATTTATGTAATGTTCTAAAAGAAACGTAAAATGTTTTGCCTTCACCTTGCTTAGTGATGGTACTGTACAATTCTAATGTCATGAGGTCCTGAACCATTACTTCAGACATTTAATTGCATTCTTTTTTAAATGCTTTTGTATAATGACAGTAGATACTGAAGTAAAAGAGAAAAAAAAAACTATTCTCTGACTGATACTTCCTTGACTTGTAATTACTCTTCAACTTCAGGTTGGAACTTTCAGAAAGGAGTGTGTAAAAGATGTCTCTACTTTAATAGGATTAGTTTACTTTTTAAGCACCCATTCTCTCTGTATTTATTGAACCTGCCTCCTGGTAGATTTTTGGGATGGTTAGACCTTGCAGCATGACTTTTAAAGATTGTCATTAAGAGGAATGTTGTTTCGTACGTAGCTGCACCATTTCATATGACGTGCTTACTGTAAACTTCAGCAGAAGTTATGTTCTGACCTAACCAGTTTAGTATTTGGGAACACAGCCTAGTGATCCCAGCCATAAAACATAAGATGGTCAGCTGTTTCTTTGCAGCTTAAAAAGATTTCCTTGTCTCCTTGCAGGAAAGCCGAGATGAAAATGAGACACGATGAAATCAGAAGGAAATATGGTAAGCAACTCAAAACAACATATCCCTTTTTTACAGCATCAAAGGACTTTATTAAGTGATTTATAGAAAGTCACACGAGAATTTCTGACTGAAGTGCTTGCAGTATGAATCTGTGTAGTTTCTCTAAGAAATCAAACATGCCAGTTACCTTTCAGAAAGAAATGAATAATTGCTGCATAACCAACAACTCCCCTGTTGTGAAAGGAATTTAATATTACATATGATGCACACTCCCTCTGTTGGTGAAAACAAATACAACATGTAATTGAAAAAGGAAGTACACCTTGTATCTGATTCAGTTTATTCATTTGATATCATCATACGGAGATCTTTGATGTAAATTAGATGGTAATGTGTTGTTTAAACGTGGTGCTGAGACAAGTTTGCACTTTTTATGGTGCTTTTGTCATATTATTTATGTACTACAAATTAAGTACTTCAGTACCTAAAGCAAGAGGAGTTTGAGCAGCTTTTTGTTCTTTTAATAAAATATTGTTTTGGCTATGGTGAAAGAGTAAGCTTTGTAAGCGATGGAATCTGGATGTCATATTCTGGCTTCTTTACATGTTATTTCATTTATGTCGTTTTTTTAAACTCCTTTTATTATGTGGTACAGCTTGAAAGTATGCAAATGCATTCAATTAATTTTTCTCTTTTAGGTTTAACGAAGAGCAACCCTTACTCTAAATTTGAAAACAATTAACTCCAGTGGAACCAGAGGCTCCTCAACTTTCCAAATCTTTATTCGATGGACGAACAAATTCCTGTTAGACCACTGATTGCAGATTTTTTTCTTACTGAACAGAAAATTCCAACATTAAACAATAAGGCCAATTAAATATAAATTGTTTTGTGAAGGTGAGTGAACCATATTGCTCTTTGCACACACACACCTTTACATCTCATTGTAGAAGTCAACCAGTTTAAGAGATTTTCCTTTGTAAAAGCTGAATTATCTTTAATTCCACTAAGAAGTGAGTTGTTTAAAACTTGTAGACAGAAGCAATAAATGCAATGCATAAAATAATTGAAAATAATTTAGTGTTCCTAAATACAATTAATAACATCTATTATTTTAAAATTTAATCTAGCAAATTTAAGATTGTCAGAGAACTCTTTTAGGTTTAGGAGTTTTAGGTTCAAGAGGTGATGTGAATACATTAGTTAAAGGTCAGGATTCTGAATTTGTTTGATTTCCCAGAGCAGTAGACTCAGCAAACAAGATATTTAAACTAGGCTTCAGCATTGGTTAGAGTTACAACAAAGTCATTTATAATATTAAGATATTTTTCAGTACCATTTAGTCTAGCTCAGGTGATACCATTTTGGGTTTCTTAAAAATACTATATTTTAAGTAGCTATTAAAAATTTGAATGTAATTTTGTTCTTACTTTGTACGAATAAAGACATGGAGTTAGTTACTATTAAATTAAGACGTTTGTGACTCTAGCCTGATAAGACTGACTCATTTCATAAGTGCATTTCTGTTTAAAAAGAGAAGAATCTGATAATGTCATGTGTGGTTGCTATTTTTATCTGGAAATGTCTGCAAAAATTATTTTCCCACAGTGATAGTTTGAAGAAAATACTGGTGTAAAGTTCTGTGAAATTATACACAGAGCTAACTGCTTGGAATTCACTCAAAGATTGAAATAGCTCTTTTTTTCTCAAGTTTTTGCTCCTTCAGTGGTAGTGACAAAACATAAAAGAAAAGAATGATGTTTCCTGTTATAAATGCTAATGCAGTGTTGGCTTTGTTCCTGTAATTGCTAGACTTAATATCTTTTTGAAAAAATATTTAGATTTCTGTTTGGACGACAAATTGTTCTCAGATATGATAGCATTTTAACATCATAGTTATTCTAAAACAATCTGCATTGCAAACCATTATAAAGAGGGTATTTTTAACAAAGCTTTCGCATGTAGAATAACAATTTTTAATGGGTTGAAACAGCAAACTAATCGGGCACTTGTGGCATTTCATATAGGGACAGATCAAAGAGAATTGCTTGATATAGGTCTAATGGTATAGCCACTTTGAGAAGTTTCACAATGGTGAATACTTTCAGATATGGTCACGACTTATTGAAAGCCTGTTTTTGACACATTGCTAAATGTATACGCAAACTTTGTTAGTAACTGTTCTGGAAGGCAGATGTCAGCGGCAGACACTGAGCAGTAAGTTTTTAACACTTATGGAAATTTTACACTTGAAGCACAGCTGCCTATATTATATATACCAAAGGAATAAGAGGAAGAGTTAGCTTTTAAGGGTTAAGCGCTCCCTTGATAGTTCAGTAGATCATCTCAGCCCAGTACTCTTTAAATCTCAGCTTTGTATTTGATCATTACTCACACCGAATGTAGAGCTTTACTTAAGTACAGCTTTATGTACTGAGTATCATTTGATTGAAAATGTGCTGCACTGTTTTACACTCCAGTTTTTATAGAAATATAGGACCTTCATACTTTTTGCCCGTTAAGCCTTTTTCATACGACAAACCATGAGTAAGGAAACCATTGTGCCTTACATCTTGTGCCTTACAACAGTGCTTTGCCGACAAATTCACTGACCAAAAATGAGTAGAGGTTGCTTGTGGATATTAATCTTAAGTATATTTTTGTATCTGTTAAAAGCAGCACATTATATATATATATGATGTTATTTACTGTGGTACTTAAAACTTCATGCTTTTTTGAATTTGTATAATGGTAATTTTGGTGTTTCCTAATAAATTGCAAATGTAGTGCGATCACATAGTGATTTCTGTGTAGTTTTAATGTTTCATTTATTAGCTTACCATTAAAAAGAGCTTTTCTGTTTTAATAAAAGAAATAAAACTATTCATCTCTTGTTGCTGTGCCTTTATTTAAACAAACAAGAAGATTTTATGCAAAATGTCCTATTGTTTTCCATTTTATTTTATTACGATGACAATACAATAGGTGAATGTACAAGGAGATTTTTGGTTTGCTTTCATAAATGCTTTGCTCCTTTGAGATTGAACGAAGGGTAATTTGGGGAAATCTTTCCATTTAGTTAGGTTAATATGGTTACAATCTTTGCTGTGTTCGTACATAATTGGGTCTCTCCTGCTTCTGTAAGTAAACAAAATGATTAAACTTTGTAGCATCATATGAGCACAATAAATATTACAATGCGAGGCCACGTGGCCTATGTAGCTCATGAGGTTGGTAGTAGCTAATGTGTGGATCTCTTCCATCCATTTCTTTGAAGATACCAAAGTATTTGCTTGGATAGCATGGTTGGGTATCGATCATACTTTTATGACATTGCATTCTGCTATGCAGCAATTATGTCTTTGGGTTGCCTTGGTAAATGTGCCTTTCGGTATGGACCAAGTTTATTATCATCTAGCTCCTGTTTAAGAGCTAGTGGAAGAGTGACTTACGTTGCATGTCCTCTTAGTGATGAGGACTAGGTTTAAAATGCACACAAGTAGCTTATTCAGTAGAAATATCTCATGTGAGCTGTAAAGAAAGTAGTGAATAGCAGAAACTTATCGTGTAGTATTGTATCGTATAGTACAGTCCCTTATTTCATCTAAAATGACAGATCATCACCTGAAAATTCTTCACAATTCACCTCATCAGAAAAAAGGAGGCTCGAAGTACAAAACAATTCTCACTGAATTCTCAACTTCTACTGTACATCTGCAGTGTAGGGAATTTCTTCTTGGAGTAGCATGGCCTAATTCTGTATATACAGTTAGGGAGTGAGTAGTTTGTCTTAGATTATATAGCAATGTACTTGAACTGTTTCAGTAGGAAAGGTCATGAATTTCTGTTGCTTCTAACTTGTTTTTGAGACAAGAAAGTGAATGAAACGTGGGCAACAGCCAAAAATAGCAAAAAAGAAACTTGAAAAAGAATCATCACATGAGAGCAGCTATTCTTCACAAAACTTTAATTTTTTTTTCACATCTTGCAGAAAAACTCTTTTGACTTTTAAACATCTGACACTGAAGACTGAATATGGAAGCTTTACAGTTCAGGAAGCTCTCAATTCTGGTGGGAACTGAAGTCATTAGAGTCAATTTAGTAAGTAATGTATACCACCTCTGCCCATCTGTACATAATCAGTCATATCCAAAACTCAAAAAGCAGGTTTTTTGTGTGTGACCTTCCATTAATTAGATAAATGGGAACAAATATGCCCTCGCTTGGGGAAGTGAAGGTTGAAAAATGAAAACAAGAAATCGGAGCCAAGTACAATTAATTTAGCAGGGTTTTTTTTTTGCGCAGCCACGTAACGTCTCAGGCAACTCTCTCCTTTACTTCCTCTGCGTGGTCTAAAAAAAAAATTGTTCATAGTGCGACCTCTAGTGGCAAAGTATAGTACGACAATAACAAGAGGGAAAAGGACACGAGTGATAGAGAATTGGGCCCAAATTAGTCAAGTCAGTTTATTGTGCTTAACTTTTTAGATCCGCACTATTTAGAAATTATTTTTTAAAAAGACGGGGGAAATAAGCAACAAGTGGTGACTGAATATTATTACTCCAAATATATTTATTATCTTCTCTGTGTTCCGTGTAGTTCGTGCAACTACAGAAATGTCCAACAGCACAACAGCACAAAGAACAGAGTAGCTTTACTTACCTTCTGTTCTCGTAAGATGTTAATTACGGAATTGAACTGAGAAGGACAAAAGCTTGTGTGTGAAAACATTCGCAACTTTATCTGTCAATTTAGTTTTGACACAAGGGATGTTATGTGGATATGAATCTGAGGTTTTCATCAAGCAGTTTCTTTACAGATCCCAGGGAATCAGAATTAATAACACAACTGGTAGTTTGTTACAAAGACATTTTGGGAACTAGAATAAGGTAGTTTCCTATAATCCACCCTCAAATACTTTTCGGAAGCAATCCCATTAGGCTGATTTTATCAACCCTTTCATGACTTTAAATATTTGAATGAAGTATGCATATAATCACATGGGATATCTATTTTACCAGCGACATGTATTTGTATGCACTTATTTGCAAGTCCTAACTAGACTTTCTCAACGTGTTTTTTTTAAAGAAACATTAGTATTACCAAACATTGCACAAGGTATTGCATCTGAGCATATTTCATGTGCACGTTTTTTTAAAAAGTGACATTTTTCAATATAATCACCTCAATGTAGCAAAACTATTTATCTTAATGTTAACCAAAGGTAATGTTAATGCGTAAGTTTTATCAGTTTAAATTCATCGAGAGTTATTTAAGTACTCAATACAGAATGTTTTCAGTGTTTGTAAGATTTGTGAATTAGTGCTCGTCCGGGGAATCGTTTAATATGCATTAGACGGTATTGCTGAACCTTGTATTCTTATGTGATCTATTTGATATAAAAAATAATTCCCAGTGAATATGAAGGCACATTAATCGTTCTCAATGTGTTTAAGGATATTATTAAATTAATAATATTTATTTGATTTATTTAATGTTATTTAACCACTACGGGTAGTTCCCTCGTCCCTTTGCTTCTTATACGATTATCATCAGTCAAAATAACTTAAAAAGTAATTTTGCACACATATCTACTTTTTATCAGTTGAATGCAAAAGACAATAATGGTTCACTGTCCGAGACGCTTCTACATTTGTCATTTAACATGTTAAATGTGCTACATGTGTAACATGTGTCATTTAAGGTAAATGTCAAGCATTCGTTTATCACTTACTGTAAATATCACTATAACTTACAGTACTGTAGGAGTACTTTATTTTCTCGTCCGAACACCGAGCGCCCCCTGTCGTCATAAAATAATCAAATATCACATATCAGAATAAACGGCATTGTATAAATTAATTAGAAAATTGATTTATTTTGGTGTATACAGATATTAGAGATTAGCTAAACTTGTTTGTTCCAGCGCATTATACATACAGTTAGTTTTGAGCAAGTTAAAGCAAAAATCCTCACTATGGCGATCTCCGCGACACCCAACTGCTTGCAGGACATGCGCGTACCCGAGAAAGCGTCACGTGACGTGCTTTCTACCTATCAGTGACTGGGCTCTTCAGGCACAAGGCGCGTTCCAGTGGTGGAGACGACTGGCAGAGGTGTATTGAAAAGCTGTCCTTCAATAAATCCACACCGAAAACTTACAAATCAGAGGCATCATGTCTGAAGAAAAGCCAAAGGTAAGGTTCTGATGCTTTAAAAAAAGACGATTTATATTTTGTGTGATTATTTAGCGGTATGGGCAATCAGGCTGTGTTTAGGGCAGGGGATTCCTCATTTTTGTGAGTAGAATGAGAACCAAAATATATGCAATAAAAAAAATAAAATCTGCTATTTGGAATTTGGAAGCATAGGTTGGTTCTTCAGCAAAATTTACTAAGGTGCATTAGGATGGGGCTTTTCATTGAAATTGCGCCATTGTTTCCCTCTGCCGCGCAATCTCCTCGGGTTGGAATTCAGTGTGTGCTTTGCGCGATTTTCTTTGTGAAAGGGTAATGGAGTCGCAAAGCAGAGCTACGCCTTCGGCGTAAGAAATGCCGCAAAGGAGAGAGGTGCTGAGCGGAAAGATGCACAGTGCAAGCAGCCTCCATTTACAAAGCTGAGCGCATCACCGTTATGCAGTTTAAACAGTGCTTTTTGGTAAAGCACACTTTACACGACCGTGGAGGGAGTGATTACCTTTTCATTTGTTTACATAGGTATTTGTTTTAACTATGATTTCGTCCCATTTAGTTTGTAATTTCACTGGGGAAGGGGGTACGTTAATGAATATGGCCTTGTACCTTGTTACAAATTACAAAGTTGAGAAAGAACGTGAAACTACAATAAATCCCAATCTCTATCAATTAATGAGAACGTTTCTTCCCCTGTACTGAAATAAGGCAGTTCATTCGTTGAGAATAAAGTGTACATCTTTTTTCGATTACAAATTATGAACATCTCCTGTCATGCCAATTCTATGCCATCACAATATTAGGCTAGTAATAGTAACGTAAGGTACGTTTTATATTTGGCAATAATGATAAAAAGTACAACATTTCCAATTTATGCAGCACAACTGATAAAACATGGCGATTTTGCTGGAGCTGGAGGGTTCACCATGTGTGATGCTCTGCCAAGGTATTAAACACAACGATCCGTAGGAATACATTGGTTCAAGTAAATCATTACGTACTGTAAAGATTTTCGCTGTAGCTGTCAAAAAGTAACAAAATAGTCAACGTATGAGATGCTTTCAGCAGTTAGTGCGCAGAAAAAATGGTCGATGCTTTAGTACACGTTATGAGGGTTCTAAAGTAACTTGATTTGTTTACATCAAGCTACTTTGTTACTATGTAAAAAAGACCTACAGGTCTTCTGTAGATTTATTTGAGCGGATTAATCCATGTTTGATAGTCTTGTTTTTAATTCACTTTCAGGAAGCAGTGAAAACCGAGAATGACCACATTAACCTGAAGGTGGCTGGTCAGGATGGCTCTGTTGTCCAGTTTAAAATTAAAAGACACACCCCCCTCAGCAAACTTATGAAGGCATACTGCGAAAGACAGGTAAACATTCCTTTGAAGTATTTTTCTTTACCGCGATCTTCCTTAGAGTGCCTTTATAAGGATGTAGGCAACCATACTTGAGTGTCAAAGACTGCATATCTTCATAACATTTTAGGACGTGCACTCTTTCCTTCGGTGGTGTTTTCCCGTATGCATTGGTGCAAAATAATTCATAAGGTTTGATTTATGTGTGGATGCAGGACATCTGTAATTGTGTGCACATACAGTATAAATCTAGAGCTACTTTCCCTTCATAATGATTAATCTTTTCTTGGATGGAGCCTGTAAAATCTTCAGCATTGCACAGGCTTATTAAGTGCACATTGTGTGTGTGGGTGCAAGAATTATGCCATGGGGTTTCTCAAACTTTGGACACTTGCAGGACTTTATGTTTTTATTTTGAGGAATAATCTGGTCTGAGCACAATCCTGCCTTTAAAAGGTGAGCACCCAAGTTCCAGAGAAATCGAACAAACAAAAAAAAGAATTCAGTGCAGATGTGCCTTTTAAGTATGCCAGGCTACAGTACTGTACGCCGGGACAAAGGGTTTTACAGTTACTACATGGATCAGGCAATTACAGTACAAATTAAAACAAGCCAAAAATACCCACTAAAATCTTAGTTTTTAAAATATCGCCATGCTGCAAGGCATAGTATATGCAAAATAGTTGTAGCAGCACTTGAAGAAAAGACAGTTGTGGCTTGCTTTAAAGCTCAAATGCAAAATAAAAAACAGCAATATTTTAACTATATCAACATGCAAACAAACCTGCATTCCTGACCATTGTTTTCTCAAAAACCGTCACCTCTTAGGCTACAAGGAATGGTTAATTCCACACTGAAACATAGAAGGAGAAATTCAATGTATTGACTGTTGAGCCGGCAGCTGTATTTTCTTTTTAGTTTTCTGTGTGGAATTAATCTTAACTTGTTCCTTTGGAATCACGTCACAGTGAGTCTGTTTTAGAGAGAAAGAATTATGTAATGCTGTGCTTAATTGTCTTTGTGTAGGCGAACGTTATGTTAACAATTGTCCTGCATATGCCCTGATCAGTCTGGGAATGCACAAACTGTCAACGTTTAAATAGTATAATGCTGATTATATTTTATTGCATGCCCACATTATTTAGGATAATATAGAACTATATGGACAATGTGCTTATTTACTGTTTAGTCAACAGATGGATTGGATTTATGGCAGGCTTCAGTGTAGGTTTTGTGGTTCACACTTAAAACAGTAATCAGGGAAATAGTTCTGTTAGAGAGTTATTTATAAAGGACAGGACACATTTTTGTGTTCTTTTCATTTAAGTGCTGAATGTTACAGTTAGTGCTTACCTCTCTTACTCCGCTTTAAAGATGTGTACCAGTGATTATAGCAGTACTCTTTCAAAAAACATTTCTGTCTCTAAAGGTTTGAGGATTGTCCAGAGAAACATCTTTCTAATGGAGTGCTAAGCCTAATCATAAACTTATTTGTCTATAATTAGTCCACAAGTATTCTGTGATTTTCTGAATTGTCCATTTTTTGAAGGCTAGAAATATGAGGGAGCAGTTTTCCTCTTCAATTTCCTGTAATATATATATATTATATATATATATTGATGGTTCTTGTAATTAGACCCAGCTGATTAGGACTAGCCAGCTGTGTGTTGCTCACCTATGCTCACAAGTATGAGCCCTGTCACTGCATGCAGGAAAATGAGGATGTGAAGGGAGACTCATCATGTCACAGGCACTACATCTGGAGGCTCAGTGCTAAATGGAGGACAGACACATCCCTGAACAGCATATCATATGTGCAGGCACCCAGGAAACCACAGGGCTCAGTGTGTCGCTGAGGGCCCTGGTCAACTCTGCAGCCTAACCTCGGCAGTGCTCAGTCAGTCGCATGCTTTTCACTGGAGAAATGCCTGTCATTGCTGGCTAGTGACGTGACCCAACATCAAACTGGTGACCACAGAGCTTTAGTCTGTGCTTATCAAGCACATTCACCAGTGTGCTGCTTTGGAGGCATGGGAAATGTAATAGTCACTGTCTGCCTGCACCTTTAATGACAACATATTGTATTTTAGCTTTGACTGCCATTTGAGCTATTTAGAGTGGTAACTGGTAATGTTGCAAAGTGCAATGTTTACATGCGGTTATTCATGAGGGTTTAACTCTTCTATTTTTTGATTCCCAGGGTCTGTCAATTAGGCAAATTAGATTCAGGTTTGATGGACAGCCAATTAATGAAACGGACACACCTGCGCAGGTAAGGACAAACTCAAAACAATTGAGAGGCACTTAAAGCCTGCTTCTGTTTGTCACAACTGTAGTTTTAGGCTCGCCCTGTCCGTTCCACCTGAATTTGCCTTCTTAAATGAAATTAGATGTTTTTGACATTACCTGCTGTGTTCTGTTGTTGTGCTGCTGGAGCACAATGGATGCTGCAGGCCTTCCAAGAGAGTGCCCACTTCTGTAGTAAACAATATAGATCTCCTCATACATGTGATTGATTTGGGACTGAAGGCACTATAGAAATACAGGCAATACTTATTCCATTTCCTGTCACAGTAGCAAACCTGAACTATTGATAGCTTAATGTAATTTGTACCTATTTTAGCAAGAACCTGCAGCACGTTTGAAGCATCAGAAGTATCACTTCTTTTATAAGTATGGAGGTCCAACGCCTGTTGACTTGAATACTTGTCTATTACAAGTTTTAGTTTGTTTTGAGGTGAACATTTTTTTTACATATTACAGTTAATATGTAATGTTTAAAAAATTATTTAGACCGATTATAAGTATTGCATTCAGGCATACCAGAGGGCAATTACACAATGTTGTCCTTGTTGCTTTTGAAGAACTGTGTAATAGTGCTTGTACGTTTGCAACAAGTGCCACTCTGAAGGTCTGCACTGGCACTCACTGACCATACAGCCTTGGAAGAAGTGATCTTCGGTGTTCAATTGCTGTATATTGAGCAGTGATATCCTGTTTCAAGATCTATAGTCAAGAGGCATTGATAGAAAAGTAAATCCTTGAAAACTGGAACCAGATAATTAAATGATGTGAACACTGGTTTGCAGTAGAAGGAAGCTTTTAATGTCATTCTGATTTTGGATTATCAACAAGTTTGTTCGTAGTAAAGAACTTGGCCTTTGTTAACTGCAGATATTGTGTATACATTTTGAAAACAACTCCCTATATGAAAAGTATGTGTTTGCTTTCAGCTTGAGATGGAAGACGAAGACACTATTGATGTATTTCAACAGCAGACCGGTGGAGTGTGTTAAAGGTGTACATCCTTCCTTAAAGAGGACTGCGGACCTGGAGTAAAACCCACTTTACTAAGCTTTTTTATTTCTTTTTTCCCCCCTCCAAATACTCGGTTTTAATGTTTTTTCCTCATAAACCCCCCCCCCTGGACTGTTGTGGAAACAAAGTCTGAGTTTGAACGCTGGTTTTAAATGATAACCATGACTCACTGGGAGCAAAGGATTCTTTAAACATCCATCCTGAGTACACATGAATTAAAGTGCATGGTACGTAGAGAGCAATTGTGGTTTCCCCTCGAAAAATGCATGATATCTAATCGTGGAATTTAATGGTGGGCTGTGAGGTGTTGGGGGGAATCAAGTTCAGGTTTGTTTCAGTGAGTGTAAAAAATTGTAAAGAGCACATTCTTGGAGTCATGCTGTGCGTTTTTCAGTGGGCTCATTTTATGATACCAATTGAGATTAAATTAATAAAGCCACAATTATTATTTTGGAGTAATGCTGGGGTACAAACTGCTTTGTAGACAGTATACTGTGCAAACCTTTTTTTGAAGTAGACAAGACAAGTTCAAGTTCATTGTATAATGCTTTATAAAGAAAGGAGGTATAAAGTGTTGCATTTTAAAGCAGACTCGATGACTATGGTGTTAACTGACTTAAAGTGCAACCTTATACTGTTCAATGAGGGGAAGTGGACTTGACAGTTTGGTTTTCCCCTCACCTTTTTTTTTCTTCCGGACTAAAGAATGGGCGTTTTCTTTAAAATTAAGATGTGTAATGATTTTTTTTCTACACAATTGTTCAAGAGAGTCTTGCTTCATTAACCTGTATTCTGCGAGTTTCTGCATTTCCTTTTCATTGGGGTGGGAGGGAGGTGGGCAAGGTAGAAATTTCCACTGAATCTGTCATGTTTCTCTACTGATTTGTACATTATTTGTTGTCCTTTACTACTGTATACAATAAATATAGTTTGGTACTCAGATTGCTTGTCAAGGTTATTGGTTTCAAAGCCTATTTTCTCTGTTGGATAATAATCTCACTCCACTACTAACCACCTGACTGTTACATTCATCTAAGGTTTTTTATGCCAGCCACACACCTTTTTCGTTGGCTTTGGTTGTAACATTGAAAAGTATATTTTCACACTGAGATTAGTTACTGCTCTTAACAGAACATTTGTGCACACTCTATGGTGATTTTAATGATAAAGACCACAGGAATGAAAAATAATTGGTCCCATTTATGTCATTTATAAAATTCAACAACTATTTGTGAACTGAATTTGAAAGAGTCCCATTACGATTAAGTTAACTTGGCGTTCTAAAGTCTTTGAGCAGTATCTGCAGATTTATACAAAGCAAGGATTGTGTAAGGAATGAGTATTATCAAGCGCTTTGAGAAGCCACCTTTAAAGGTGCTATATAAAATAAAGTTTATTATTATTAAGCATTAGCTGCACCTATTACCAGCACACAGAAAGAGAAACTAAGTTTACTTAGATTGAGGAAATCCCAAGAAATCTGTTTTTTACATTTTACAGGATCACAATGAGGTACTGCAGGAAAAAAGTTTACTGTGTTTGATGTCAATGGTGGTACAGGGGCTGATTACCTGGGATATCTCAGTAAATGTAAGAGGTTTTGGGAAGACAACACTTTGCTTTGCTTTTCAGTTTTTGCGTAACTTGATAAATCCTAGTTTAAGAAGTATTTTTAATGAATGAAAAACAGGTCTGGGGAGGTGTGGACTAATTTGACATTACATTTTGATTTCGCAGATAAAAGTCCTCCGGCCTTCAGGGGGTGCTGTAAGTAAAGCGGATAGTTTTTAGCATCTGCGTGCTCTAAAATAACCCGGAACAGGTTATTTTCTGCACTTGCGTTTGTTGTGTTGATAGGTCTGCGAAGGAAGGAAGAATTTAGCCTAGTTTTTATTTCTTTCGTTACATTTCTTTATAAATGGCTGGGACAGCGTTGAAAAGACTTATGGCTGAATATAAACGTGAGTGCAGCTGCGTATTGTGAACGTCTGTTAGGCGTTGTTTGTGCTAATTTAGTTTGATTAATCTGAAAAGTTCCGAAAAGCTTGTGAAGCAGTGACAGCCTTTATTTGCGGTGTTTGCTGATGTGTTTGATAAAGCAGGCTGCTGCTGAGCACTGGTTTTAGTCAAGAAGTTCTGAGTTTCGGGTGGGATTTTAGTTGGAACCAGGTCAGATGATTTGCAGCAACTCTTCTCATACAATGTTCGGGTTGGGAATGTATACCAAATTCAGGATGGACTGTGAAATATTTAAATTCGTCTGTTTCAGTTCAGTTTCGCTCTAATGACTCCTTGCTGTGGCCTTTTGATATATCTAGAGATTGTGTTTCAGGTTGTTTTAGTATAATATTATTTTCGTTAAAATGTAGGAGCAATCGCAGTACATTTTGTACGAAGCTTCTTTTCTTATATTAGTGTATACTGTTATTGACCATATACAGCACAGTCCTTGAAGTCAGACTTGTCCTTCTGTTATGAATCCAGTGGTTCAAGGGACATTAAATCTTATTTGGAAAATGCGGTTTTGAAATATGGTCGTGCAATGATGTATGCAAAGCTGGAATTTTTGTTTGTTTTTGCTTAAGCTACATAATTCATGAAACTGTACATTTGTATATTTGTCTCGGATATTTCACATTTGTTCTACTTTATCAACTCGGTTCCTCCTTCTCAGAAGAAATATAATTATATGGTTCTTGCCATGGAAATGTCAGATATTTTAAGATAAGTTAATCGTGGTAAACCTGCGATTTCAAGTACAAAAAGTAGGCTTTTCAATTAATGGATGTGGACGTGAATGTGATGTTAATGACGAGCAACACCTAATGGCGAGTAAATTAGATTTAATTAGTAAATCGAATTAATGAGCCCTTATTGGCTGTTCGTGTGCAGTTAACATGTGATAAAGGTTTTAAATAATCTAATTAAGGTGTTTCACAGATTTCTTGTTTCTTTCTAATGCAAAGCTTTAGTTGTATTACTGACGCTAAAGGTCACAAATGCGGAAGGCACTAATGGAGACTTTGTTTGCATAGTTGGTTCTCTTCACATACACTTTGTAATTCCTGATTGTGTATAAGCCCATTGTATAATAGTGTATATGAATGAAGTCCAGGCGCTCAGCCTTATTTAAATAAAGGTAAAATAATTGAAACAAAACAGACCTCAGTTTGAATCATTTGAGCCAGAAAGACGACCTCATGTCCAGACTACCTCAGTTTCCCATTTATTGATGGGATTCACCAACATGGAAAATTTCCAATATAAACAACGTGTTGTTGCAGACTGCCTTTTTGTAAAGTTCGCTTTTTAAGAAGATTTCTCCTAACTTGCAGTTTGTGATAGCTTGTTACATTCACCATTTTGTGAATCGCAACTCCACGTCCCCTCCTCCCTCCCATCATGGTTAAATAAGTATTCAGTGTTTCAAATGTAGTTATATTCGGCTCTGTGAATTCTGCAGTACGGTTTCCTTTTCTCTAGATGGCGCGATTGCATTCTTTGCGAAAACACCACACGGTTTCTCTTTCAATGCAAGAGTAGGAAACTGTTGTATGAAGCGCCTTTCACAAACAGAGCTCCAAGTGTTGTAGAACGGAGGGAGAAAACCTTAAATTAAACACAAAAGAATCAGTCAGTGTGTTAATTCAGTGTGTATTGTATAACGTGTTCTGGAATGTCAGGACAGGCAGATATATATCTAATACACTGTGAAAGCTGTAACCTCAAGCTGGTCATCGCAGTAGTCAAGTCTTGATGAGGTGAGGAAAAAAGTGATTGACTAGTTTCTCAACAGTGGGTAGAACCAGAGCACGACACAACGTAGAAACGCTCAAGAGTTGAAAAACAGGCATCATGGTGAGTAAAAAATGACCCACAGTTTTCATTTGAGCACAACTTTGGTTTGAATACAATTGATTACCATGCTTATGGCACACACTTATGAAATACAGCTTTTAAAAAGGTTAGAAAGTTCTGTTTCCATTAACAGGCTTAACATTTTCGTCCTCCGCTGGCTGCTAATTTAGATATTCTCCAGCAGGTGGCACAATTGATGCTGCTTTTCACCAAAGTGCAAGAGCGTCTCGAGTTACAAAAAAAGACATAACAGTAGATGCCATCTTGTGGTGAAGGGTAGCAGTGTAAACAAAGTGTACCCCTCCATTTATTAGCCACTTCATCCAGTACAGGGTCACAGGAGATGCTGGAGCGTAACCCGGTGAGCAGCGTGCTCAAGGCAGGATGCACTCTATTGCTGAGCACGCAGAGACACAGACACTCATAACTGGGCCAGTTTTCTTTTTCCAAAATTAACAAATTAACCTACCAGCATGATTTTGGGAGGGAGCAGCCAGCAGAAACCCGTTTGAACATGGGGGGGATCATGCAAACACCACGCGGATAGCACTCTAGGAATCGATCCCAGGGACGCAGCACTGCAAGGCAGTCATGCAGACCACTGCACCACCATGCTGCCTTAAGATGTTCCTAAAAACGACAGTCTGAAATTCCAATGTTGATGCTGTAATTCACCAAAAAGGTACAGTCTACTCTTTTACTTGTAATCTGTACTGCCCCTTTAATAAAGGCCATCTTTGTGTATTTACAGAAAAATAAAAAATAAAGGGCAAGCATGAAGGCACAGTGATCAGCCTCACTGCCCTGCAGCACTGGGGCCCTGGGGTCAATTCCTGGGACGCTGTTTGTGAGGAGTTTGCATGCTCTCCTGGCATTCTCGTAGGTTTCTGCCAGGTGCTTCATTTCTGTTAAAATGTTACAACATCATAAACACCATTTTATGAATGCAACGCTTGGACCGTTGATTTTCACAGTTGATGGACCTAGTAAAATAACCTCAGCTTTGTCATTGCCTTTGAAATGCTATGTAAATAATTATAGTTAATAGTTCTGAATTAAAAGCCTTGAGTTATTGCAGCCCAAAATCCAGCAAGGCAATAGAATCTTCGACTCTCGTAGTTGTGTGGTATGCATTTAGCTTAGAGTCCCTCCAAAAATAAACTGCATCTATGGAGCTCAGATAACCTCTGTACCAATGAGAAGAGATGGTATACAGTACAAGACAAACAAAAAAGTACAGCTCTTACAAAATGGATGATTTTTAGAAATATGCCTGTATTTGATGTAGAATGTCCTTGCACTAGACCTATTTTGAACACAATCATGACTAATGGCATCATGTGGAGTAAAAAGATTGCGATGCATCAGAGAAGTTGTGGCCATTTGTAATATGCTAAGTGGAAAAAAAATCAGCTAGCAATCACTTCAGGCTTCTGACATTTCAACACTGTTTTGGATTACCGAAGTGATTATAACAGACAACAGAATAGGCAAGGATTCTTATTTCAGTTTCTGTTCTGTTCCTCATGATCCATGGTCTGTATATCTCCGTAATCCCAACTCTGGGGTGTGGGGGGGTGGGTATGTTTACCGTTGTTTTATATTGGAAAGTAATTTTCTTTCATTTAGAGTACTTTATTAATTAACTGTTTTTCACTTCTTTTTGTTGTGTTTTTTAGTACACATCTAGCAGTATAAATAATAGACTTATTTCTATAACCTTGTCTTGTCAGTGCCTTGTCTGTATTCGCTCCGTAGACCTGGAGAACGATATCTGGCTCCTCTGTATACTGTATATGGCTGGAATGACACATAAACTTGAACTTGTTAGTTGTATGTGTGTGGCCACTATGATGCATAAAATTGAGACACCCTTCATACATGTTACAAAAACAGCATGTTTCCTTGAAGTGATAATAGTGATGGATACGTTTTTCATAGATATCTCTAAATTGTGAGACCAGGTAATGATACACATATGATAATACCAATCAAAATTAATTTACTGTAAGTAATACTGTAGATGAAAGTAATTTTATTTTAGAGTATACAGAGCTTTTGTCAATATGATAAAGTTTAAAGGG